GACTTGTGTGAAAAGCGTTTAAACGGTTTTCATTTATAGGGCCAATTTGCACAATAAAAATTGATTATTTCTGGGAAACAGAGTGAGCGAATGATCTGAAGTTTTGTACATGAGTTATTGGTCTAGACAGAAATCTAGCTATACAAAAATCTTGAAAAAAATATTTTCTATCCCTTCATGTCAATAAACCTCAGTGGAGTCCCTTTAAGGCTTTCATGAAAACTGAGAATATCTAGACGTTCCAACTACAAGAGAGGATTCTTGGAAGGAAACCAAATAATAATCTGTAGTCAAAGGTACAAGACTTTACTGTTGATCATAGGCAGCTGACAAACATTGTTTATAATTAGTATTTTATACTCATATAGTATACATGTATCGTAACATTTAATTTATTAGACAATTATATCTCCCTTAGCAGTTGCAATACATACTGTTTTAACTATGTTTCAATGAAACTGCTTTACAATATTTTGCTCTACTTAATGCAAGATTTCCTAAGGTATTTTCTGATGAGAGTTACACAACATTCACACCTGTTAAAAGAATCAAAAGCTTTTCTGTATATATTGCACAATGCACACTGTCTGCTCTATAACTTAAATGTTGTATTTACCTATATTACAATACATTATAAATAGGGGCATTCATGGTCGAGTGGTTAACATTGTTGACTTCAAACCACTTGCCCTTCACCACTGTAGGTTCAAATCCTATCAGGGACTTTGGATTCTTTCATGTAAGGTGGTTCTACTCAGGTACCTGTTAGTGCCTAAAATATATTGCACCTACATTGTAGAGTCCTGAGAATCCTCAACCAGTAAAGCTGAAAATTCGCCATCTAACCTTTACTGTGTTGGTGCGATGTGAAACCCAACAATAGCGAAATTCATTCATTTATTATTATACACTCATTAACTTCCTGATCACCTATCATGAATAGAAAAAAATAATGAGCACCTTAAAGGAACTCCACTGAGGTCCAATAGCCTAAAATAATAAATTTTGAAATTCTTTCTTAAATCAGCTGGTACATTTAAATTTGAAACCAAGCAGTAGATAATATATAAATATACACAGTATTAAATTGATAATTGATTTTGTATGCGATTTTTGGCCGACTTGTGTGAAAAGCGTTTAAACGGTTTTCATTTATAGGGCCAAATTGCACAATAAAAATTGATTATTTCTGGGAAACAGAGTGAGCGAATGTTCTGAAGTTTTGTACATGAGTTATTGGTCTAGACAGAAATCTAGCTAAACAAAAATCTTGAAAAAAATATTTTCTATCCCTTCACGTCAATAAACCTCAGTGGAGTCTCTTTAAGGCTTTCATGAAAACTGAGACAATCTAGATGTTACAACTAGAAGAGAGGATTCTTGGAAGGAAACCAAAAAATAATCTTGTAGTAATAATTAATGCAAAATAAATTCCTGTCATAAGGCAGGGAACAAAAAATTGAAAGGACTGTGCCAAAGGTTTATAATTATGCCTTGGGGATAAAAAATAAGCAGGGAAGTTCAGACAAATGACTTTTCATTTTTGTTGCATGTTTGACTAACCTTATATAACAAAACAACTCGGAATATTATGTTATATGATTAATACCAGACTGTTTTATAATAACTTGTTATCCGTTTTAATACACATTTAAATCTAGGCTACCACACAAGTGCAACAACATACATAATTTGTATAACATTCTAATTTTGATTTGAACACCATCATGATAAAAATCCAAAAAAATTGTGCAAAAAATTAAACATGAATAAAATTCTTAAAGGGGCACTGAGGTTTAAAAGCCTAAAACATAACATTTGAATTTCTTACATAAATGAGCTGGGGCACTTTAAACAGAAATACATGCAAAGATAGTTAAGAAATTATATATACTTTGAAATAAATTGAAAATCATATTTTTATGCTTCTCTTTGCCCGATTTGAGTGAAAAGTGTTTAAATGCTTGTCATTTTGGGTCATTTTTTACAATTTTAATAATAATTCTGGAAAAACTTTTTAATAATAATTTTGGAAAAACTAAGTGCGTGAATGATCTGAAATTTTGCACAAAGATTAGTGGTCTAAACATACATCAAATGGTACATTTATCTGGAAAAAATATTTTCAGTCCCATTCTGTCAAAAAACGTCAGTGGAGTCCCTTTAATCCCAATTCCCAAAATACAGCAAAACTGATTATTGAACTCAACCTTCAATCAGAATAATAAAACAATTGTTTGGGTTTCTAGACCTTAGAACTTCATGGCACATTATGCCTTAGAAACAAACTATTTTTTAAAAATTTTACTTCTTTTAAAAAGACAATATTTTATCATTTTTTAAATAATGGTTTTAGAGCATGTAAGATGCTTGTTACACAAAGAAAATAGCAGTGTGACCTGTCACAGTTTTCAAAAAGAAACTCATTACCCAATATCGATCTGTCTTTTGTTTCTGTTATTTTTTGGCAATTAGTGCAGTTATAATTATAGTGATTAAGTTTTCTGTACAGAAGTCATTAATTACTACTATGTTAACATTTACATCCAGTACTACATTATTCAGGTGAATATCATCCAACATGCTCTAAAACCATTATTTAGATGTTCAGGGCCAAAAAACCCTTCTTTGTTGAGGCCCAATATAGGCTACTTCCCCAACCACACTAGCCTCTTTTTTCCCCAGTTTGGTCCTCAAAATTCCCCAGTCTTTTGAAATTTCCCATAGAATTTAGAACAAAATTAAATGATGGTGTTAAATTAAGGTCTTTTACTGCCTTATTAGTATTTTTCAGTACTTTTTGCTTTTCTATTTTGAAGAACTAGTTAAAAGTTTGTATTAAAATTGAGACCCCTTTCCCCAAAGAATGCCAAAATAACGCATATCTTCCCCATGAAAAAGGCTGAGGCCCCTTCCCCAAAAATAGTGTTTTGGCCCTGATGTTATAAAACTCATTTTCGCCCATTTTTAAAGAAGAAAAACTATATTTATTTGTTTTTGAGGCATAATCATTATGAATAATGTGCCTTCAAAGTAATATTCTGTTCTACATCATTTCAATAATTAATATGCATTATGCTTCACAATAAATGTAATATATTTGAGAAGTTTCACTTCAGATTATGGCAAAAACTGAAGTGACTGTGGGATAATCAAAGTTGAAAGGGACATCACTGAGATTTTTTGACATGATGGGACTGGAAATTTTTTTTTTATGAGATTTATGTTCAATTTCATGTAGATTGAAACAAATAACTTGTTTGCAAAAATTTCAGATCATTAGCTCACTCTGTTTTTCAAAAATTATTCTTCTTGTGAAAAATGAGCATAAATTGAAGTGTTACAATGCTTATCACTCAAATTGGGCAAAGAATAACACATAAATACCATTTTCAATGTATTTCTGTAAGAGAATATTTCTACTTATCTTTTGCATATTTTTTTGTTTCAAGTGCCCATGCTGTCAGATCTATGTAAGAAATCCAAATTTCATGTTTTGAGTCTTTTAGACCTCAGTGGAGTTCCTTAAAATCAACTTTAAATAAATAGGACTGTTCTGGACCACACTTTGTGCAGACCTTATGTCACTGTTCCTGCTACGCCACCTTCTTTGTCGAGACAAAAAAAAATTGTAAAGAACAATGTTCCAGTGAGTCCACTCGAATTCGGTTCCAACTGTTCTGAACCATAATACGTACAGACCCATAGTTTAGATGTGTTTTAATTTTGCCTTGTGCTTTGAGTACTTTTAGGATGTTAATTATGATGTGAAATTGTGTTTTTTTTAGAAGAAACTTAAAGGCTATTTTAGCACCAAAACTTTTTTTATTTCTATTTCTCAAAAGCATTTTACTTTTGGTGTACTTAACTGATTTGCCAGTTGCCCGAACCAACGTTTTCACTGGTTGCTTTTTGGCAATTAGTACAGTAATAGTGATTTAGTATTTTGTATGGAAGTCAAAATATTACTTTGTTTACATTTTGTCACCTTCGTGACAAATAATTTCACATTCAGGCCTCTTTCTTATGGTGGTATGCATGTACCCTACATGTAACATGCTCTTAAATCATTCTTTCAACATCACAAAACTGAATTCAATTTTGATATGTAATAAAAAAAATATGAAACAGCCATATTTTGGATGTAAATAAAAGATTGGTAATGTATAGTAGTGTTTGGAAAAATTCTGGAAATTCCTACTTTGGCTTACAGAAGATTTAGAGGTGATATCATACAAGGATGGAAATTATTAAACAGGAAGGAAGATATAGATTATAATGTATTTTTTGAAAAAGCACAACTTGATAATCATCACATCAGAGGTAATTCTATGAGGTTGAAAATAAAATCATGTAAAAAGGAAATAAGAAAACATTTCTTCTCATTAAAAGTAGTACCAGAATGGAATAGATTACCAGATACTGTGGTATGTTTACCAACGCTGAATTCGTTAAAAAACAGACTCGATAAAGTTATGAGAAACAAATTATATACTGTCGTACCGGAAAATAATTATTGGGTGTCAGACCTTGAGGGGGTTACAAGAGATTTCTGATCTCGAAACCCTACGCTGGATAAAGTAAAGTAAAAGTAAGTAATGTTAAGTGTATCATGCAGACAAGACAGTGCAGATGTGCCGGGTCCCTTTGGTTGTGAATAATTTGTAAAATATGACAGAGAGCTCACATAGAGGTGATGCTCTATTGATATGAGATCTATATTTTAAGTAAGTGATGAAAATGATATGAATAACTGTAAGACAAATTTTGGAATAAATATATATATCAAGAAACCGGAAGCTTGCTCAATTGACACGAAAATTATATGGGACGAATCCTATGTAAACTTAGGATTGGTCATTTTATCTAAACTATAGTAAAAGATTAAGTTACATAGATTATCACTAATTATAAAACATATCTGATAATAAAATCATATGATATATAGATAAGCTTCAAGAAAGGAAAAATTAAAAAAATTACAATAATAAATATTTTACCAGCTCTAGTGACGTCCAGGCGCTCTATTTTAACACAGATTCAAGCGTTCGAATGTTACGGTTGATGACCACTATTATTGGGGGATACTAATCGACGGTCTCCGCAAAATCGACGGTCTTTGACGGTCTCCAAAGACCGTCGAAGACCGTCTATTGTAGGAGACCGTCGATTAGTAGGTTAACACACAAATCGACGGTCTTGCGATGAATTGATAAGAATGATTTAGAAATAATTAATAATAGGTCAATAAACATTTTTCTTTTACGACGATACTTTATTTATGTCAATATTTAAGGATTTTAATGGGGAAAGAAATGATTAGATAAAAAAGGGAAAAATACAAAAAAATATGGGGAAATAAGATATTGTTATGCAACAAATTAGATAAACAAATTAACAATGAAATATATTGAAATATAAAAATGTTATTGAATTTATTAATAAATATCAAGGTCTTATATTTTTATTTTGATCTATATAATTATTGTTAGTAGTAGTTAGTAGTAGTTAGTAGTAGTAGTAGTAGTAGTATAAATATAAATTTGTGAGTTTATGCATATTTGCATATATTCTAAAGACCGTCGAAGACCGTCAATGGGGAGAGACCGTCGATTTGTAGTTTATAGACGCGTTCTCATGGTATAGTTTTATGTCTACAAAGGCCGTCGATTGTAGTAGACGGTTGATTAGCAGGTTACTATACAAATCGACGGTCTCGTGATTATACATTAATTTGATGGATATTACATAGTTATTAATTAATTTAGCCGGTCAATAAGCAAATTCTCTAAGATAATGATTTATTGATTTCAGTATTTTTTTATAATTTGTAAAATAACAAATACGATTTAAAAATGAATAAGATAAAACATAATTAACATGCCATTATTTTATTTTATTATTATTATTATTTTAAGACAATGAAATATATTGGAATATAAAAATGCTATTAAATTTATTAGAAAATATCAATGTCTAATATTTTTATTTATATCATAAGTAATAGTAGTAATTAGTAGCAGTAGTATTATTTCGATGTTTTAGCTTAAAAAATACATACATAAATTTGTGAGTTTATGCACATTTGTATATATTCTAAAGAACGTCGAAGACCGTCAATGGGGAGAGACCGTTGATTTGTAGTTTATAGACCGTTGATTGTAGGAGACCGTCGATTAGTAGGTTACTATACGAATCGACGGTCTCGTGTTAATCAATGTTGCCAGCCAATAAGCATTTTTTCTAAGACGATAGTTTTTTTGTGTCAAACTTTTTTGATGATTTGTAAAAAAAGAAAGTAAGATATTCCTAAAAAAGGATATAATACAATTAATATGACTTTTTGATGACTTTCAATTAATCGATAGATCATTGTTATTTTTCCAGATTTCCCCTTTTGTATTTATGAGTGGTTTTTATTTGTATTTTTTTAATATCAACTTCATCGATAATATTATCATTTGTATAAGTAATAATAGTATAGTCAGAATAATTTAAACAGAAAAAATATTAATTGTAAGTGTGCACACAATTGTCTAAGACCGTCGAAGACCGTCAACAGGGAGAGACCGTCAATTATAGTCTACAGTAGTTTGATAAATATTGACGGCCTCGTGGAGGCCGTCGATTAGTAGGTTACTACACAAATCGACGGTCTCGTGATTATACATGAATTTAATGGATATTATATAGTTATTAATTAATTTAGCCGGTCAATAAGCAAAACTATTTTTTTTCTCTCTTTTTTTTCTTTTCATTTTTTTTTTTTTTTTTTTTTTTTATTTTCTTGTTTAAGGTCTCAGATTTTATGTTACATGAACTCCCTCTATATTATTATTAGTAGTAGTAGTATAATCTCGATATTTTTAATTTAAAAATCTATAAAAATGTGTTAGTTTACGCACAATTGTAAATATTCTAAAGACCCTTGAAGACCGTCAATTGAGAGAGACCGTCGATAAGTAGTATTATAAATATAGACGGTCTCGTGGTATGGTTATGTGGATGTCTTCAAAGACCGTTGATTGTAGGAGACCGTCGATTAGTATGTAATTATACGAATCGACGGTCTCGTGTTATTAATTTATGTAGCCAGCCAATAAGCATTTTCTCTAAGACGATAGTTTATTTGTTTCAATTTTTTTGGTGATTTGTAAAAAAAAGCAAATACGATATTCCTTTAAAAAAGGATATAATATAATTAATATGATTTTTTAAATGACTGTCAATTAATTGATAGATCATTGTTATTTTTCCAGATTTCCCCTTTTTGTATTTATGAGTGGTTTTGATTTGTATTTTTTTTAATATTAACTTCATCGATAATATTATCATTTGTATAAGTAATAATAGTATAGTCAGAATAATTTAAACAGAAAAAATGTTAATTTGTAAGTTTGCACACAATTGTCTAAAACCGTCGAAGACCGTCAACAGGGAGACCGTCGATTATAGTCTACAGTAGTTTGATAAATATCGACGGTCTCGTGGAGACCGTCGATTAGTAGGTTACTACACAAATCGACGGTCTCGTGATTATACACGAATTTAATGGATATTATATAGTTATTAATTAAGTTAGCCGATCAATAAGCAAAACATTGTTTTTTCTCTCTTTATTCTTTTCCTTTTTTTTCTTGTTTAAGGTCAAAGATTTTACGTTACATGAACTCTCTCTATATTATTATTATAAGTAGTAGTATAATCCCGATATTTTTAATTTAAAAATCTATAAAAATGTGTTAGTTTACGCACAATTGTATATATTCTAAAGACTGTCAAAGACCGTCAATGGAGAGAGACCGTGGATTAGTAGTTTCATAAATATCGACGGTCTCGTGGTATGGTTATGTCTCCAAAGACCGTTGATTGTAGGAGACCGTCGATTAGTAGGTTACTATACGAATCGACGGTCTCGTGTTATTAATTTATGTTATTAAGTATCAAAATATTAATACCGTCGTTAAAATTGCCTATGCATGGTGAATTGATTTTTCCACATATTAAACAAGCAAGACTGCTCTATGTAGTCTTAATAGTAAATACCACACATTGACTTGATTGCAGTAACAAACTTTGTACTAATGTTTTCATTCAATAACTTTCTCCATAATAAAACCCAATGCCACGTTACTTTAGTAATTATTCTAGAATATTATTTCAAATTAACAAATATTTATATTATAGTGTTGAGGATAAACTGTTTTAAACATAATTAAATACACATGTTTACATAGCAGACATATCATCAGGAAAAAAATCTACACATAAACAGATGTCATGTGCATTGGCCTTTTAAGGCTTCAAAATTCAACACCTACTTGATATCATGCGCTTACAGTCGGGGATGGGGGGGGGGGGGAGGCGGTAGCCAGACCTAGTTCTGTTTGACATATGACATTAAAAGAGGGAAATTGACCAACAACAAAAAGAACATTTAAAATGAACTATGGTTCAGTTTATAAGTAAATAACAGGATATGTTTTCAGTGGATAGAAAGATGTTTGATGATACCGAAAACGGTTTTAAACGTAAAAAGTTTTGTTATATAGTTTAACTGATAAGAACCAATTCTGTCTTTTGAGAAGACAGATTTATTAAACATTGTTTCACACTTTAAGACAACTTCTTTTCTTTTTCAAATCAACCAAAAATTAACAAGGTTTTATTACAGAAATTAAGGTCGTTACCCTTTATATAATTTAATGAAGTCTCCTCCTCGCATTTACAAATATAATACACAAAATCCATGTCCAATACGACCCAAATACAAACCACTTTATTTTAAATTTACATAATATACATTTAACATGTTTCAGGCAATAACACGTGAAAGGAAAGCAGCATAGATATTTAGTATGGGTAACATCTTGATCATAAATAGTCTAATTAATTATATGTATTTTTGTTTTAGTGTTTATGTATTCGAGGTGGAAAGCAGATTGTATTTATTTAAAAGTGGTAAAAATAATCGTTTGAATCAGGGTCTTTCAAATAGAATTCTATTTGAAAGACCCTGTTTGAATCAATCTGTTGGAGCGGATTGTTAATTTGTAATAAGGGCAAATAATCGAAAACTGATAAGAGATTTGTAACTTGAATATATTGTAGCCATCTATTTATTACACTAATTGTCGCAATCTCTGTGGGCGGAGTATTAGTTAATTATCGAGATTAGCCAATCAATTAGCATGTGTGCGTTACCAAATTATATTACCCGTAACATTTTATTGGTCATTTGAAAGCTTTTTAGTAATATAGCAATATTTTAATTAATCTATTGCAAGACTGCTAGTCCTGCTTAAATTAATATTTACATTTAACGATCATTAAATTTTTTCCTGGCTTAGAAAGGGCAGAGTTTAATTTATGGCTTAAGTTTATGTCACATGAAATAAGTAACGTTGAATGTTTACTTTAAAAAATATATAAATATTCACAATTCAGCTGAAATTCGTATTGCCACTTTGAGGACTAATGTTTGAAATATTCATGCTATGTATATGATTGAGGAAATAGCAGAGGTAACATATGTTACCAACTGCCCGACAAACATATGCATGGCGATTGGCAGGCACGCTGGTATGGCACAAAACCGTGTTAGCTTTTGCACACTATACTTCAGAAATGAAAAAAAATACTTCTTTAGAAAGGTCAAACATTAGTTTATCGTTTAAATAGTAGTTCTAGAGCATGCACAATGTTTGTAATCTGAAGAAAATAGCGCTAAATGTAAAATGTTATAAAAGTAGCAAAATGTAAAAAAGTTATATTTTGAATTCCATACAAAATACGAAATACTAATTACGACACTATATAAATTCACTTACTGCCAAAAAGGAGCCGATGAAGACGACAGGTCAGGTAATTGGCGAAAGAGTAACATATTGGAAACTATAAAAGTACGGCAAAAATGTCATGATTCTGGAAAATATAAATGAAAACATTTCTGGTGCATAATGGGCTTTTAAGCTTGTTTATTTTCAGCATTGATAATCAAATTACATTTGAATCAAATGTGTCACAAGAATGATTACTTTCATCTTCATTTAT